CGTACCTTGCGCATTATTTAATGCTGAGACCTGTGCAAAAAATAAAAAAAATAAAAAATGGACAAGGGCACTCCAGACTGGAGAACTACAATTCAGAAACACTGTAAATGCACTAGCGTTAGTGACTGATTTATAAGGGAAAACTCAATTCAGCAGGGTGCCTCATAATATATGTCAGTTTAATGGGTCTTTCAAATCTGGTGATGCATGATATGTGCATTTGGTGACTATGGCCCATTACAGAATTCCAGGTTGATAGTTTTTCTGCCATGGTTCTGCCTGGTCATTTCTATTAATGAAAGTGTGCTGTGCCATTTCCCCCCCTGCCACATTGTCTAACGAGTGTAAAGTTTAGGGGCCACAGCAAGTGGTCAGGCTTTCCCATGTTAAATGGTGCCTGGGTTTGCAGATTACCAGGCAAACCCTTGTTAATTTGCTGCAGGTAACATTGAGCTGGATGTGTTCTGAATGACCAGAAGTAGAAATTATAAAAATGATACCTATGGGTATCTCATTCAGCATTCAGAAAGAAGGCTTTCGGGCCAGGGATAATAAAAAAAGTTGTATCCCTGCAGAGGTGCTGAGGGAAGGGCTGATGAGAGACACATGTGCCTTTCTGCTGCTGCCATAAAATCATTTGCTAAATGGCCTCCCAACAAGACAAACTCTTGCCACATACCCCCAAAGAGGCGCCACAGGAGCGATTAGCCAAGCACTTCCCTTCAGTGTCCAGAAGAACTTACTGTGATCATTTGCTCCCGACTCTATTTAGCTAAAGTTAAAGAAGCAGTTTTACTTGTTAATCCAGTTCAGAAAACCGATTTAGCATTTGAGCAGGGCCGAGAATCCTCCTAATGGGAGTATAGATTGACATAGAAGGAAGCTCCCTTATATAACTGGTCCACCTTGCTCGGTAATGGTAATGGCTCTATTACAGAGTTTCAGATTCCCCCCCCCCCCCCAGACCTACCTGAAGATGCTGAGATTTGAACCTGGGACCTTTTGCGTACAAAGCAGGTGGCTCTGCCACTGAGCTATGGCCCTTCTCTTCAACAAGCTCATGCTGGCCTACTGCACAGTACTTTTAGGAGGCGTCTGAATACTCACTGGGTGATGGTGGTCAGTGCACAGGAACCAGAGGAGCAGGACCCATCTCCAGGGCCAGAGGGGCCCCTGTCTCCGCAAACACAGCAGGCCAATTTGACCTGTAGGGAGCAGCAGGCGGGACACTCCAGGAGGCTGAGGCAGGCAAGGCCCACAGCCCAGCTCCCTAGCTGGCCAGGTGGGGCTCACTAGCTCTGAGGGGAGGCATGTGATTCCTCAGCTGGAGTAGGCTCAGAACAGGTGAGGCTCACTTGCCTCATCAAGCCCAGATGCTGCAATCAGCATGCAAAGTACAAAAGGGAAGCAGAGCTGAGGTGCTGTGTCTCCTCAACTGCCCATGTCAATGGACTTTGGCTTGGATGTTCCTTGGACCTCTATGGGACTGTGCTTTCCAGACTCTGGACTGTATTCTGACTGCAGGGTTTCAGACTTGGCTTGCTTCGACTGACCCTGGACTGTGTTTCCTGGACTTTGCTTACGTGGACTGACCCCCGGACTTTGAACATTGGACTTGACATACTGACTTGCCGCCAGATAGGCCAGGGGTTCGGGACAAGATTTCAGGGCAACACTGTGCACAATATTGGGGAAACTATTGCTATTTCCACAAAAGCTACTGGAAAATATGCATAGTGAAAGGAGTCCTGTACATGTCCAACAGGAGACAGCTGCTCAGCTGGCTAATTTTCTGGACTGTGGTGACACTGTTTCCATTAAGAAAGCAAGGTAGAATATCTCATATATATAAGTCTCCCTCATAATTTTGAAATACTCAAATATAAATTTGAGATATTCAAAAGAAAACAATTTTAAAGCAACAGATATCATCCTACCCACCTCAAATCTTCTCAGGTAGTAGAGAATGAAGCACAAACTCTAGCTATCAGCATGTAAAAACAAGGAATTTTTAAAAATAATTTTTTAACCACTGATTATTTAAAGCCTCTAATTCTTCAAAGTCTCCCCACTTCTTCAGCTTTCTCTTCCAAGCATGATGGACAGTGAACAGTGGAAGAAATGCTTTGAAGTTGAAAATCTCCATTCTGCAGAGCAAGATTAACCTGTGCTGTTTTGTATTCATAAATCAAATACTTTAATAATGAGATTTTAATATATACACATATATTTAAAAGCAGCTACTGTGCAACAAGCAGGAGGTGGCTCACATGAGGCCATTCAGAAACTTGATGATGACATCACTTTCTCATCCATAGTTTCCATGATGGGATATGGGGCAGTTGCTATTCTAATCCTGCTCCACTTTTACATGTTGCAAATGACTTGACCAAGTCCGGAATGCCTCCACTCTATGCCACAGGCACTGCTCATCAGATGAATATGCCATGCAAATAACAAAACATATAGGGTTGTGAATACCTAGCAACCATCCCTTTTTATAAGGCCGTTAGAAAATCAAGCATCCTATGGCGCAAGGATGAAGGAACCTGTGCGACTGCAACTCCCATCTTTCCTGACCACTGAGTATCCAGCTTTGCTTGATGGTTTGAATCCAATAACACCTGGAGGGCCATGGTCCAGCGGTCAAGCAAATCCATTGCATGCAAAGCTCCTGGATTCAATCTCTGGCATCTCCTGGAAGGACTCAGATGACCTATCTGAAACTCTATAGAGAGCTGCTGCCAGTCAGTGTTGACCAGGCATGGCCAAACTTGGCCCTCCAGCTGTTTTGGGACTACAATTCCCATCATCCCTGACCACTGGTCCTGTTAGCTAGGGATGATGGGAGTTGTAGTCCCAAAACATCTAGAGGGCCAAGTTTGGCCATGCCTGGTGTAGATAGTACTGAGCTTGATGGGCCAACGATCTGACTGAGGACAAAAAGCAAGTTAAAAAGGGAGTGTTACTTGAAGAACAAGCAATGCAATGCTGCACAGAAAAAAACAATTGGGGGGGGGAGAGGGAGAGAAAGCAGAGAAACCTGATTCGTGGCAGATTCAGATACTTAGGTTATCAGCCTTGCCTTGCTCCAGAAAAGTTCTGAGCGCTCAGAATGCACCTGTCGCACCCATGAGCAACCGTTTTTCAAAAATGAAACATGTTCAGTCAAAAGTCGGCAGCTTTATCTGCTTGCAGCTGCTTCCTCAATACAGTTTCAGGGAAAGTATCCAGTAAGGCCTTCAATAGAAATCTGAAAAAACAAAACACCGCCAGCACTGCTGCAACAGTTAGACCATGGGTAGGCCAACTAAGGCTTGGGGGCTGAATCCGGCCCAATTGCCTTCTAAATCTGGCCCGCGGACGGTCCAGGAATCAGCATCTTTTTACATAAGTAGAATGTGTCCTTTTTAAAAAAATGCATTTGTGGGGTCTGCCTGGTGGTTTTACATGAGTGAAATGTGTGCTTTTATTTAAAATGCATCTCTGGGTTATTTGTGGGGCATAGGAATTCATTCATTCCCCCACCCCAATATAATTTTATTTGTATGTCGCCTTCCCACTGTTTGAATCACGCTCGAGGCAGCTCACAAGAAAAAAAACACATAACTACAACATAAGTCATAAACAATAAAAAACATTAAAAAAACAATCTAACTAAACAATTTCCTCATCAATCACACGTTCTAAAATAAAGATGTAAAAAAACCAACAGCAACAACCTCACCCAACCCCATGTGCCTGAGCTCATGAAGCAGGTACTGTAACCTGAATGGCAAAAATAGCACACATCTGCACTTTTTCGAGACTGCAGCCAGGGTACTGTAAACTGAATGGCAAAAGTATGCACCCAAGGTTTCATTGGAGAAGATAGCATTTACTAATGCTGATATTTTCAAAAAGAAAGAATGTCTCCATTCAGATAGATTCATGTTACAGCTACGTCATGACTGTGCAGGTGCTAAAAATAACTATTCCATCCTTCCGTTGTATTGGAAGATGCAAATGTATGTTCATGGTGGTGAAGCATCTGGAGCAGACTGGCTCAACCTCTGGGCCTCGAATCATTAGAACTATTCCTCTCATTCTTCTCATTACCACTGTATGGGGGGGACGGGACAACAGAGTCACACTTGCTTTCACTGTCATGTCTCCTGCTAGCCAGAGACCCTGCTTTTCAGTCATTGTAGGAGAAGGAGGACAGAAGTTGGCTGTAAGCTAGCAGAATCCCCAAGTGATTTTAAACTTTGTGCAATCTATGTTCTAAATTGCATGGGGAACCTACACCATCACATGAGAAGAGGGTGGGTGAATCGGGTGGATGTGCACAGCACTGCAGGTACCTCACGTTCAACATGGGCACCACAGTACAAAATTTAAACAACTACAAGCATGACCAAACCCAGGTGGTAGAAGCGCTTTGGGCTTCAACAGCAGTGCTCCCTGCTTTATGGCAATCACTTCGGAGAAGTTGCACTGAGTTTTGTAATACGGGTAAGAGAAGCAGCGGTGGGGCAAGCTGATCGGGCACCTGGGATGGTGCCCGGGGGCGGGGCCAGCCACTGTGGGGGTGGGGCAAACCGGGGCAGGACGCTCCGTGGGGCCTCCGAGTCTGCCTGCCTCCTCCCACTCAGCTGCCCTACAGCTGAGTGGGAGGCGGTGGGCAGACCGTTTGGGGCAGCGTGGAGCCTGCAGGTGCCCAAGCCACCGTGTCATTCCCAGGAGAGACGCGTGGCTCAGGCGTGCTGCAGGCTCTGCGGTGAGTGCCGTCCAGCTTTTTGTCACCCCCCTCAGTGATGACACCCGGGTCTGCCCGCCCCCACCACACACCCCTGGTAGGAGGGAGGATCTGCCTTTTCAAAGGAAAAAAATTAAAGGTTTCACAGAGTGCCTCAAGGCCCTTGGAGTACCTGAAGCACCTTTCTGGATTGCAACATTTTTCTTTACGAAATACTCTCTCACCAACAGCCTTGTGGAAACAAGACAAAGAAAACTAGCAATTCAATGGACAATATTGTATTTATTGCACAAAGTTCCCCTAAAATTGGGAATGGTTATTATAATACAAGTGCACATCTTGGGAAATATATATATACAAAAAACACAAAAGGTAACAAGTATGTACATTTTGCCCAGCATATTACACATACCACCATCTACATAATTTAGAGGAGACCGAAAACAAAAAAACAAACAAACCCTCTTGAAATATCTAACTTAACTAACGGGTTTTAAAAGGCGAGATTTAAAATCCGGCTTTGGATTTCCCCGCTTTTCTTGGCGGTCTTGCATTTGCAAGCTGCGGTAGAAAGACATTTGCTAGTATGTATGTGTAATACACTTAAAATTTATTCTCAGCCTTAAAATTAAGACATATTAATGGACATTGGGAATATTGCAAAAATCAAAGAGATTAGTTTTGCATATACATTGTTCTGAAAAGCATGATACATTAAGAGGTCAACACTACAGTGCTGTTATAGTTCCCTTTTTTTAAAAAAAAAACAAAAATCCAAACAAACAAGTGTATGTAGTACCTTGATTCTGCATGTACCATAAACAATTATCAGTCACAGGAAAGCATGCCATCATGCTGCAATGTCTTTTGCACAGTAACCATTCCAGAAATATCATTCGGACAAGCATAAAAAATATTTATTCTTGCATCTCAAATGAACCCAATGCTGGGGAGAGATGGGTAGCGTTTGGTTATCAAATGCCTTTGAAGGCATGTGAGAGACTACATCTATGGCAACACTTATTACTGCTTGAATAGAAGATTTTATCAGGCCGCCTTACTGATCCTACATGCAACTGCACTTGCAAGTCGGTGTGTAGGATTGATACATTGGAACACCACACTTCAGAGTGTCAGCTCACCTAGGGAGCAACTTGAACGGCTGTTTCTGAAACAGCAAAACCCACCATCAAGTGATGTAGCCTAGCAGCTGCGCACACTGTTGTAAAACAACGCAGAAATGGATGGAAAGGAAGTGTGGGATGAAGGACAGGAGACATCGTATGCCACCATTAAATCTAGGAACAGTGCAAATCTTGGGGTTCTGGGGTAAGCAATTTATTAGGGAGGAGGTATTGCTCAGCAGCAGGGCAAATGTTTTGAATGGAAAGTCCCCGATTCAATCCCTGCCATTTCTACTTAAGGATCTAGAGACAGGGCGCAGCAAGACCTCTCTCTGAGACCTTGGGAGAGTCAATTCCAATCGGAATATAGATTACTAAACTAAGTGGACCAAAAGTTTTGATTCGATATGGGCTAGCTCCTTCTGTCTGAAATCCCTAAGAAAGCATAGCAGGGCATTCTTGGTCCATTTGTACAGGATGCTTCTTCAGCTGTGTGACAACCCCTGCTCTATATGGTGCAGCTGTCAGATCAGGGCGCACAATTGTAATCTTCAACCTATGTACCCATGTCTAAACACTTCAGCCTGAAGAAGCAAAAGCACTTGAGCAAATGCAATAGTCTCAACTGAAGGTGGCGTGAGACTTAAATTACGAAACTATCTGAAGGATTTAAGCGGAACCAAAAGTCAGCCGGGCATGCAATTGTTTCCAGGACTGCAATTTTCACCTGCGCAGAGAGCAAACAGTTAAAAGGTCTGGCATGACAGGTGTTATTTTAGTAAATGAGGAAATATATACTTTTAATTTTCCCTGTGGGATGACATATGAAATTCAGAACACTAATAATTAAAATAATTAATGACGAACATATGGTTAGTGGTGCTAGATGCTAGGAAAAATGAGCCCGCATGTCCCAATATTCAAAGTGAGGTAGTAGAGCCTGCTCAGAATATTATCTATTCATCTACTTATATGCATGTCTTATAAATTATGGCTCCCTCATAAGAAATATTTGATGTTATTGCTTAATCAAGGATAAAACTATGAGGGGGAAGGGACTACATAGCTACTCTTTTTTATTTAAGTCAATTATTAATAAACATGGTGGCATCATCAGAGTAGCTTCTACTAAATGATGCTGATGCAACTGTTAAACTGTGGTGTAAAACAAAATCTGATGCTTCAAAACAAAATTTGCTTAAGTAGTTAAGGGCAATATTTTTTCAGTACTCTTATTCTGTATCCAGTTTTGTCTCTTATGGTATACATTATCTCTCTTTCATACTGAAATCTGCAAATTTTATGTTTTATGAAGTTAAGCACCTGAATCACCTAGATATTAAAGGGCCTGGAGGGCAGGCAACTTTTATTTATTGTGCTTCAAACAGGACAAGATCAAAGTAAATAAAGTCTTGTGTGTGTGTTTGTGTTTTAAATCAACATTAACAAAATGTGGGAGACAAATTTCATTTAACATTTCCTAGGCCAAATGTTCTGTTTTCTGGAGTACTTAGATAGCAACACAACATCAGAACAACATCAAAAGCATAATGTTGATTACACACCCAAATTATGGTAAAATGAGACGTGTTTCTTGGCTTGAACTCCCAGACACCATATCCACGGGGAAATGCCTGCAAATACATTTCTGAGGTGAGTGCTATTGGCAGGCTACGATCCAAGTCCCTTACCTCCATGTAAATTGAACATTCCCCCCAGTAAAAGAAAGAAATAAATCTTCAGCAGTCTCAACTTTTAGCACGGAAATGGTTAAAACTGTTACAAATAGCTGTAGCTTTGTTGTTATTTGTTTTAAATGCTCTCCTAATTTGTACCAAGTAGCCAGCTGGTTCTATTCTCTTGTATAAACAGTAACAGCACTGCATATGGTTATGAAGAGTTCTAACCTCCAGTAATCCTGGGATTTTAACAGTTTGCAGTTATATGCATTTCAGAAGTTATTGCCCAAGCCAGCCCTCCAAGTTCTAGTGTCTTCTCTAGTGATCCGAGTCTCTGGTCTTTTACTTATTTTTTTATGGATGGAAGGAAGGAAGGAAGGAAGGAAGGAAGGAAGGAAGGAAGGATGGAAGGAAGGAGACAACTTCATTTGTTTGCACATCATGTATTCAGTTGCAGAGGCACACAGTCAAGTCAGCAAGCTGTTCAGCCTATTTGCCTGAGGGCAAGAAACAGCCAGAACAAGAACGGTTCATGTTTGCTTCCTTGTCTTCCACTTTATAAAAAATAAAGTTATTGTCTTTGCCCTTTGGTATTTTAGAGCAGAATCTGGGCAACGTAAGGAGAGTGGGTGCTTGCTACAGCTGCCAGTAAAGGGAGGTCACTGGATTCAATCCTGAAAGAAAGACAGATGGGCATTTTCAATCCAAGCTCGCAATCTCAATATTCCGCAGCTTATTAACATGGCGTAATATTTGTCTCATGTCAAGGTACCTGCACTTAGACTATTAAAACATCAGCAGTTGTATGTTTAAAAAGAAATAAAGCCTTTGAACCGTCAAGACATTCCAAATATATTGCAGTAGCCCATATGCATTTATATAATTAAAGAGCATGCTAATTTATATCATAAACACACATGACTAGGTTGTTTGTCACAAGCAGCATTCCCTCTGGCGACAGGTCTGTATTACTAAAGATTTAATTGTTTCCAGCTGTCTTGGGACCCAAAGTTAACTGAAGCAAATGAAAAAATTCCAACAGACCCAATGAATCTTAGATTAGACCCTTGGGTTGAAATTTAGATTGCATTCTTAAAACTAGATGGGAATTAACACCTCTGCACTTTCCCCTTTAATTTCTCAACAGGCCATCTGTTACAGACCCTCCTTGTCTAAAGACTATAAAAAGACTTGCTTCTTCTGTAAAGAGGTGGTGTGCACTTTTCACTAGGCAAACAGCTGCTAATCTTCAAGCACCACTTCTCATTGCTCTTGGAGGACAGCAGTAGGCTAGGTTTTGATGGGTAGGTTGTAGTTTGAGGTTTACAGCACAATCCTATGCATGCTTTCTTCAATGCGCAAGGAAATGAGAATGGAATTGTTACCCTAGTTCAGGTATAGGCAAACTTGGCCCTCCAGATGTTTTGGGACTACAACTCCCATCATCCCCAGCTAACAGGACCAGTGGTCAGGGATGATGGGAATTGTAGTCCCAAAAAACATCGAGGGCTAAGTTTGCCTATGCCTGCCCTAGTTGCTGATTCCAAGCACAGCTGGAAAACTAACTTATTTCCTAAGCAGCATGTGCATTAAAAACCTTTCAAGTTCTGAAGAATTCTGCAGCTGGGTAGAATACAGTGGTACCTCGGGTTACAGACGCTTCAGGTTACAGACTCCGCTAACCCAGAAATAGTACCTCAGGTTAAGAACTTTGTTTCAGGATGAGAAAAGAAATCGTGCTCTGGCTGTGCGGCGGCAGCAGGAGGCCCCATTAGCTAAAGCGGTGCTTCAGGTTAAGAACAGTTTCAGGTTAACAACAGACCTCTGGAACGAATTAAGTACTTAACCCGAGGTACCACTGTATGCTTAAAATGAGAAGATTGCACCTTATAGTACAGCCTTATCAATGGCACTGCTATTTAACAATGAGCAAAATCTTGACACAAATAGCCCTACAGCTTCGTCTACTAGTATAGGCTGTGTGTTCAGGATAAGGTTACATAAGAGCTGAGGACAAGGAAGCTATATGGACCATACCCCAGTACTACTCCCAGCTCCTTCACATGCACTCGCATCTGGCCTTTGAGATATTCAGACAACATTTTGCTCTTGAAGTACAGCTCCTGCAATCGGTCTTCAAGGTGCATGACACACTGGAGGCAAAGGAAAAGAGAAACAATGTCACAAACCAGTCCCTAATCTCAGTCAAAATGACAGTCCATCCAACCATGCTATCTTCAAGGTACAGCAACGTAAATACATTTTGAGTTTATTTCCTCCATTGAGGAGTTAGATCAAATTACATCTTTCTTTTTTTAAAGTACCGAAGTGACTGATTAGATGTTAACAGGTTATGTTCTGTTTGGGCCTTTATCATCTACTGTAACCAGATGGCTATGTTGTTGAATATAACCAGGGATGAGCTGAAACAGGGAAATGTAAGTGTTGTGGAAAAATTTGCCTATGTGAAATTTATACACTCTATTTCAGCAACTGCTTGTGGAAGCTTGTGAAATGAGGTAATATTTACCTCATTTCACAGGTGACTATTTTTATTTTATTTTAAAATTACATAATTGTACAGTGGTACCTAGGGTTACATACGCTTCAGGTTACAGACGCTTCAGGTTACAGACTCCGCTAACCCAGAAATAGTACCTCAGGTTAAGAACTTTGCTTCAGGATGAGAACAGAAATCGTGCTCCAGTGGCGCGGCGGCAGCAGGAGGCCCCATTAGCCAAAGTGGTGCTTCAGGTTAAGAACAGTTTCAGGTTAAGAACGGACCTCTGGAATGAATTAAGTACTTAACCTGAGGTACCACTGTATATTAGTTGTAAGCCCTCTTAGTAGAATTTGTATCCTGAATGGCAAGATCTATCTATCTGTCTGTCTATCTGTCCATCTTCAATCAGAGTGGTTCCAGGAAAAAAATACCCTCATTCTGATTAGGCTTTGTGATTTCATCTTGCCTCACAGGTTGGGTACTTACAAAATTTGGAGATAAATTATGCTTATAAAGCTGAAGAGTGGAATGAAGCAGGTTGGAGACAAGGTTAGAAACTAGCACATCCTTCCCGAGTTTATTATCGGTGATTCTCCTCTGGCTACTGGCCACTTGTACTGTCCATTTGTCCGTGTCTGCGATAATGCAGACAGCTTCTGCAATTGGTTCATCCAGAACAGGGTGCTAGAAGGCAAAGAGAAATACGAGGCGTAAGCCACAATAAACATTGTGAATAAATAAATACATTTTTTCTGAGCATCAGTCGGATTTGCGAACACTCCTTGAAAAAAAAGTAACCTTGGCATGAACACTTGGAAGAATTTAGTAGTTGTGCATGCACTTTGCCACATGTGCTTTGGGTTAAATCCTAGCACTATAAAATATAGCGATTAAACTTTCACTGCATTCAGTGCAGCCAAGAACCAGGATCCCAAGAACTGTGAAACTAGCCAGCATGCCCATGTCTTGAGCTTAAGGTTCTAGAACAGCAGTCCCAGATGCCATATGGCAAGCCATTTCTGCAACTGCTATAAGCTTCTACGGCAGTTTGTGATATGGCATGGAACCATGGAGAAAAGCAAACCCTTAGACATGCCTAAAATATTGTTTGAATTTCTCTCTGGTGTGTGCACACGTAACGCTTCTGATGTATAAGGAAACTTCCAAGTCTCACGGGTTATTGAAAATATATATAATTTAAAATCCTGTAACTAGTTAAAAGCTCAAAACATCTTAAAACCGTTTTGCCCTTTTCTCTTTGCAAAATTACCCCTTGCTAATTCTGCATTCTTCTCTGGTCTGAACAAGTAGGATCAGTTTAGATATGGCTCAGTTAGCTTCTACTTGATACTGCAGGAAGACCAGCAGAGGGTGCAAGGAAACACTTATGTAATAATGGGTTTGAAGTATTTTTCATTTGTATTCTTTTTAAAAACACATGCACAAACACAGATTAAGCATGTCTGCATTATTCAGATTTGGGGTCCTCAACTGATTTAATTCCCAATATTAGAAAAACAATGTGAGCAAACAAGGATACTTTTAATTTTCACAGCTAAGGTACAATATTCTCTATGTATATTCCCCATGACTATTGTTGATGTTTGAAGTTAAATTATAGTCTAGGGGGAAAACATAACAGTTTTCTCTCTTTTTTGGTATAAAAATGGGGTGGGAAGCATTCATTTCAAGTAAAAAGACACAGTATTTCTAGAAACAAAATGTTAGTTTCTACATCCAGTGTACTTTTGATCTAAAGGCTCCTGTAACACCAAAAATGGTTGAAGGATAAGTTTAAGCCAACTGTTTGTCTTAAAAATAGACAATAAAATAGACATTTCTAATTCAATATATATATTGCCTTCTTAATAGTCCATTATTAATTTTATATGTTGGTAATGATTTTTTTAACCATTTACCATTTTGCCCCCAGTGATTTGATAAGAACATTTTCAAAATCCCTCTGTGGATGAGATCAAGTGGGGAAACAGATAGCTTGGAGGTCTTAGGAGCCAGAAAGTGATGGCGGCAGCCATCCTTTAGCTTGCCTCCAGTAGCTCACAGTATTGGTGAACCTGTGGTCCTCCAGGTATTGTTGGACTGTAAGTTCCAGTTAGCATAGTCATTGGAAGGCCATGATGGGAACTGTAGTCCGGCAATATCTAGAGGGGACAGAGGTTCCCCACCCTTGTGCCTTCCAGACTTTTACATGGACACTGCGTTCAGCTCCTGGCTAAATCAGATGACAAGGTGGCTTACAAGGTAAGGTGATTTTGATTTTAAAGGATCTTCATCGTCATAGAACTTAGAGGTTCAGAAATTTGACTGCCAATGGGAAAAAGGCACCCCCAATGGATTTGTGCCAATTTCTAAGAACACTATATCCAAAAGACTTAAGGACAACAAGTTTTTTATAGATTTTTGCCACTTACTTTTAAAGTGCTTTTATCGGGGCCTTATCTTAATCTGATATCGAATGGTTTTGTTTAACCTAACTGGCTGCAAAATTAGCAAGCAGTCTGTCAATATTTTATTGTTTGTTTAAGTATAATTTAAGAGGCTTCCCAAAATGTTAATCATGGTACTTCCATATCAGACTCCACACTACAAAGGATATTGGCAGTCACCCTCCAACTCATAAGTCTCAAAAACTGTTGCTCTATACTGCATAAATGTTTCTCATCTCTATGACCGTTAGGAATCTTTGTTAAATGAGATTGTGGAAATCAGAAATGCTTAACAGAATTACAACTTCATTCCTACTCCAGCAGGCTCCAGAAATATTTCCTTTTGTTGACTGTCAAATATAAATTCATCTGTTGGATATAGTTTAAATTACCTGTACCGCATGCGACAAATCTGACATCAAACAGTGTCTCAGTTTCTCATCATTTCCTACTCCTTGCAAAACAAAGTCAGGTACGTAAGATGAACAGTAGCCACCTAGCAAGGACCTTCCAAAATTGGCAATACTGGGCTGGACAGAGTTCACTTCAATTAATTTTGACCTGAAAGAAAGGTATAACATGGGCATGTATACTACAACTAGCACTGTTTTCTCTCTATTTCAGTGTGCAATCTAGTGCACAGTTTATGTACACTTAAGACCCTCTGCTTCAGTGGGACAGGAATCACGTAAACCACAAGGCTGGATGGCAGTCTTTGGGGGAATCATTTTGACTTCATTGTTGATCCAAGGGTAGAAGATGTTAGAAAATGGGTTGAAAGAAAGTTTCAGTTTGAGGACAGGATAAAGTACAAACACCTAAACTATATGAACCAGTGCTGAAACTAATAATTGTAACAGTTTTTGTTCCCTTGGTCAAGTGCTGTTCTTTTAATAGACTTTCCTAAATTAGCAGTATACTCCACAAAGTGTGAAAGGTAATTAGAGCCTCTTTTAAGTTGCAGCCTCAGTGAAATAAGCAACTCTTACATTGCTGCATTGCTTAAATTAATGCCCGGCTGGGGGAGAGTCCAGCTGAAATCATCAATGCTGTATCACTTGCATGATGAAAGCATAAGGCTGGATCCAGACTAAGTTATGCTTTACTCCTACTGAAATGCATAGGTGCAAGTTAGTCATGGGTAACTTAATTCCCATTGACTTCAATAGGGCTAAAGCAAGACCAAAGTAGACTGGATCCATCCAATGAGATTACAATCTATTTCTATAATATATACACAGTATTTTCTGTCTCTAAGATGCCCTGTTTGCCTTTTAACTCTAATGCCATTGTTTCGTAGGAATGTAATACATTAGGCCTAATCTCGGTCAGAAATACTTACCCAGGAAAAGGTATGTCCTCTTCTTCTGCCCACTCTTCTTGCTCTGCTCCGTAATAGTTACTGTTTATTCTGGCCACATCATGCGCAGCATCTTCGCTTTCACTGTCACCAAGGGCACTGTCTGAGCTCTCATTTCTTGGAATGTCCCAATCCACACCTGGGTCAGCCTTCTTCTCAAAGTTCTCTCTGTCCCCATGGGGGACACACATAGAGATTTTGTCTCTTTGGTCCTGCTCTGCAAAGCAGTTTTTGCAAGTCTCTTGACGAACAGATTCCATAAACTTACAAAATTCACTGGGGGTTTTTTTGTTCTTTGTACACACTTTTGGGGGAAACTCTAAGCTACTGCTAGGATCTAGAATGTCTGTTGTTCCTTTTACTGGAATATCATCAATAGTCCTGTTTTCTACTGAACTCTCCTCATATTCATCAAGCAAGCTTGCACTTTCTGCACCATAAGGTGTCCAATTCTGGATCTCTCGGGCAACCTCAGGAAACGCTTCAGGCGTATTCTGATCTCTTTTTTGGTCCTCAAGGGTTTGTGTTGCTTCACAGTTCTGATCAGCAGGTACTCTTTCTTCAGCATCCAACTGGTTGCTGTGCCTGGCCATCTGCTCCACTGCTGCTTGACTTCGGAGCTCGATATCCGAATCAGGTGACATGGAATCTCCAATGAGGAAGGTCACCTTTGTTTGAGCCTCAGCCGTGCTGCAAGGAATAGCATCCGACGAGATTTTGTCGGGAGGCTTCTTCTCTACCATTGCACTTGTAGATCTCATTACTTCAACAGCCTGATTAGCAGAATCTAATGATTCCTCACTCCTCCACGATCCACCTGTTGGTTCCAGTCTGGATTCTGCCAACACGCAGGTTTCTACTGAGGCTGATCCTAAGAAGACCTCTTTCTCTAACTTTATATCCAGGCAAGAGGCCAATGTTTCTTTGCATTGCTTAACATCAGCAGGTCTTTCTTGGCAGTCAGCAGGTGCAGCCCTGCATTCATCTGAAAGAGCCTCAGCCTCCACTTTTGAGATATTCTGGGTATCTTCTCTTTGCTGTCCTGAAACAGCCTCTGTATTTTGGGTAGGGTTAAGAGGCCCTTTGCAATATTTACAGCTGCAGTTAGAACTCCTCATTTCTTCAGACTCTTGAAAGGCTAAATTGCTTCTGTTCTTGTGCATTGTGACCAGCACGTACTCCGTTTCCTCTACTTCCCCTTTCTCTAGTGTGGTGGTGATAACAGTGCCAGGCATCACTATGGCTTCATCCTCTCCATTTTCCAGAAGATGAGTCTCTTGCAGTTCAGAGCATCGGATGAAGTAAGTGAGGAAGTACAGCAAACGTTGCACAAGGTCTTGTCGTTTGCCAACCACAACTGTTTTTGATAGTCTGACAGGTGACCCAATAGCTCCATACAGGTCTCCTACAGGACGGAATATAAAAGTAGTATGATAATTACACAACACATGAAAAAAATACAGTGTCATGGCTAAAAACTAAATCCTTGAAAATTTCCAAAAATGGACAATAGGCTTATGCAGATTTATAAAATTTGTAAATTATTTATCTGCAAAAATATTCTACAGCCCTGCCCTGTTTAAAAATAACACCAAATCAGAGCCAACTCCAAGAGTGGGTTGTAAAACCATTCAATTGCAATAAATGTCAGCCCTGTTAATATGAGTCTTTGCTAAGCTGGTATGTAACAAAGGCTACAATTCTAAACAAAATTCCCTAGAAGTAAGCCAGTTTGAAGATAATACACCTTTCTTCTGTGTAAGTACTCATAGGATAACACTGAAAATGCCTTAATGAATGTCTTTCAGAAAGTAACTTTTATCAGGAAAAGAAAACGCTTCATCCCAAAGTATGAATAAGGGGTACATGGAAGAAACAGGAAGAAGGAGCAAGTGGAGCCACTCAGGAGGGAAGGGAGAATATAACTACTTAAAAGGCAGGTTTATTTCTTATTTATTTTCTTTTATTCAGTAGAAAACTGTTGACAAAGTGATTTGTTACATTGTTTTCCTTTAACTACACTTCTACTCCACTGGTTTCCTATTATGGTCAACCATTAAAAAATTTTGTCCTTAGAATAAATATCTGAGTGTGATTTCAGACATACCCAACTGTGCCCACAATGGATTGTATGGATGAGATTTCGCCAACATGTCCACACTTTGTGAGGAATGCTTCTCTAGAAAGATTCTGATGGGCGGCTGGCCATTTGGCATGACGGTTGGGACCCAGGCTAGATGGTTTGTCAAAATTGCAGTCAGAAGAGCTGGTAAAAATCTGTAAGGGGGGGGGAAAAGACCATTCACAATCCAAAATCCCAACTCACGGTTCTTTTCCATCCACTTTTGTAAAGGGAACCCCATTATGCACTAAGCACGCCGCTTGTTGTGGTAAAGTTTGAATCAGGGATGCTTGGTCAGAGGGTGGGGAGTCTCATGCACATCCACAACTCCCATGCATAACAACACTGGCTTCCCAATTGGGAAGGAGCGACATATTTCCAGTGGATATATGCTGACATAAACTGAAGAGTGAAGCTGCATCTTGTACTAGAGTTTTACAAGCTCCCTAGAGTGCTTAAACTGGGGCTCTTGAATAAAACTGCTATGCAGTCTGAAACTTATTTTTGCTCTGCCATGTTGCCTTTTTAAAAAGCTTCCAGTATTACTATCTTTTAAATGTCCTGCATGCAATCTAGAATGTTAAACCTGACAAGTGTTTTTGGATCTGCAAGGGGAAGCTGGATCACAGCTTGCATGGTGCCTTGGCAAGAAAACCTTATTATGCCAAACCCTGGATTAGCCCCCTGAAGTAGTTCTTTTGAAATATGGCCATAGTATTGCACTGTGCTAATTTTATAATGGTTTAATTTTTAATAGTTTAGAAGGCAATTTTAACATCTGGCAGCCAGTAACTTCATAGTATCTGGTTTCAGTACTGTTTTGAAGTTATATGGTTTGGCAGTTTGTCTCTAATTTTCTTTTCTGTTCAAGCACATCTTCATTCTGTCAGTCAGCCATCAGGTCTCATTGGCTCAAAGTCTTAAAAGGAGGCCAAAGTTTCAGACTTCTATTCTTGTTTTTGAATACCATGGCAACCAATTGTAGTTGCAAACACAGCATAATTTTGACTGAAAATTGTTAAAAGGTTTTAAGGAATAAAATATCTTTTCCTGAATAATATTTTTAAAGATGAGATGAAAGTAATTCTTCACTTAAAGCAGACTTTTACTCTACCAAGGATAGGGGCTCAGCATCAGACAACTGTTATTTCCCAATCATTAATGACACTATTAATATTGCCTATTAAACATTTTTTAAAAAAAAACTAGTATTTTTTAATACTAAAAACTACACCTAAGTTTATTAACAAATATTTTAGATGCTAATTAATGAAGGATGCAATCTATACACATTGAGTTGGAGCAGGTGCCATTGAACTGAATGGAACTTACATATGACTGCACATGCATAGGATTCCAATGCCAATACATTAAAGCAGTAAAAGAACATTAATTTTTGTGGATTTCTTATGTATTTTCAACAGATACTGTTACTGAAAATATGTCTCTGGATTTTGAGATAAGGCATCTTCTGTTTCCTTCATGAGCTTTGCAGCTTTTTATAAGAACAAAACATTGTTACAGGTGGGGCCTTTACTGAGATTTTGATTCAGTTAGTAATAGTGTCTATTATCCCTTTGGTTGGAATGGTCCCCACATATTCCCACATGCCTTTTTCACCACCCACGTCCTCCCTTTTCATTATACGTAATACTTTTTTTATTCTTTACTTGGGACTACAAGGGAGCTTGGGGAAGGAAATCACCTCTTGCCACTGTCTCTTTTTTTAAGGACTATTTTGCCTTTAAGGTTACAACAATAAAAAAACCAATAGGAGAAAGACGAGAAATGCTTTACTGGTTCTTGGAGGCTTGTTCCATTAAGAAAATAAATTCCTTCATAAAGCGATGGCAGAGCTGGTTCTTCTCAGGCATTCCTGACATCATGGTAAGCCAAACAGGTTCTGCAATCCGTGGCATGGTGTAGAGGTTACAAATTGTTGTTCTAAAGTAAAAAGAAGAGAACAATAGGTCACCAAAGTGACACATCTGTTATAATATATGGCTCCAAGAGCCATTTGTGCCAAGAAAAGATGTTATTTGATTAGCAACTGAAAAGTATACAATGTCCCCCAAGCCACTCCATGGCTTTCAGAACCACCGATAATTTAACATAGTGGTGTCCCTGCTCTGTCTCACTGTCACAAAACGTTCCCTTCTGTCCACTCCAACATCTCCAAGTGTCTCTCTGGTACTTCTGCATGTATGCTTCATTGTCACGTCAAGCTCAATGTGTCTAAGACTGGTCTTCTCTTCTTTCTTCCCAATCCCTTCTTTCCTTGTTCACGTCCTTATCCACTGACAGCCATCCTTTTGATCAGGCACATACCCTTGTTTTTCTTTTTGACTTCTCTTTCTCCTTTGTTCCCTTATTCAGTCTCGCTTAATCTTACCCATCCCTATGCCTCTTCCTTTCTGTCCCCATGGCAAAAACCAGGCATAGGCAAACTTGGCCCTCCAGAAGTTTTGGGACTACAAGTCCCATCATCCCTGACCACTGGTCCTTTTAGCTAGGGATCATGGGAGTTGTAGTCCCAAAAACATCTGGAGAGCCGAGTTTGCCTATGCCTGGCAAAAACCCTTGCTTTGTGTCCTGGTTATTTCTTGCCTTGTCTACTACAATCTTTGCCTCTCTGGCCTTCCATTTGCTTATCTTGGTCCACTCATGCCAATCCAGCATTCTGTTATCACAACTGTTCCCTCACTACAATCATGTGACACCCCCTTTTTAAATCCCTACGCTGCCTTCCTGTCTGATCCTAGATCCAGCACAAACTTCTCATTCTTACTTTTAAAACTCTCAAAGGCCCTGCCCCGCATATCTCTGCTCTTACCTTGACACACCCCTGACTGACCCTGTTCCTCATCCAGCTCCAATTCACTGCTAAAGACTCGCCTTCTTCACAAAGCCTCCAGAACAACACATAAGGTCCAAAATTCTACTTTAATGAAGCTGAACAACACTTCATTGAAATAACTGAATACAGTGGTACCTCGGGTTAAGTACTTAATTCGTTCCGGAGGTCCGTTCTTAACCTGAAGCACCACTTTAGCTAATGGGGCCTCCCACTGCTGCCGTGCTGCAGGAGCACGATTTCTGTTCTCATCCTGAAGCAAAGTTCTTAACCTGAAGCACTATTTCTGGGTTAGCGGAGTCTGTAACCTGAAGCGTATGTAACCTGAGGTACCACTGTATCCTCCCCCTGTTTACTTCAGTCTACGTCCCTTTCCTGCCGCTGTTCCCTCCCTTTGAGTCTATTTTTAGATAGAAATACCCTCGGTTTAGGGAACTCTCCTCCCATTCTTTGTAAAGTGTATAAACGGGACTGCATAAACAATATTTTAGTTCAACAAATTCACCTGAAACATATTTTTAAAAACAACCCCCAAATTCATGGAAATTCCCAATTCCGTGAGGAAAATGAGACCGGGGAAATTTCATGAGTATCCTTATTGCAGCTTTTAAACTACAAAATGTCACCCTGTTTCTATGTCATTTATCCCTGCATCACTATCATGAGGTTTAGGTTTGGCAAGAGGGAATTGCCTAACATCCTATTCTTCCTAATCATACTGCATGGGTCCCCTTATCTTCAGAGGTTAGTGAAGGGCATTTTCCTCTAAGCTCAGTGCTATCAGGATGGACATTCTTCAAACAGCAAGCCAAAGGCTGCTTACAGAGAAAGGAGTAAGGTCCCACAGTAGTTGCCAGAAATGATGACTCAAGTTTCATTTTAGAAATAGCATCACAAGTCTCATTACAACTGCAGAAGTCCTGGATATAAGTGCATTAGAGCTTAGAACAATTTTTAAATATTCTTACAACTGGGAAGGCATTTCCCTTAATCTATTACTAGCGAGGAAGGTCTGTAGCTCAGTAGAAGGGCATCTGCTTTGCAGACAGAAGGCCCTAGGTTCCATCACTGGCATCTTCAGGTGGAGATGGGGGATAACCTTGCCTGAAATGCTGGTGGGCCAGCCCATGTAGACAATACTGAGCTAAATAGGCCAAAGGTGTGGCTCAGAGTAAATCAGACATTCCTCAGTGGAACTGTGTGGCAATAGAAGACAAAATCACCTCTTTAATACATATTAATTTACTGGATTTACTGCCACAAGTTATGGTTTGGGCACTGGCTTTGATGGCTTTAGAAAGAAGTTTGACAAATTCATAGGATAAGTCTATCCATGGCTATCAGGTGCAACAGCTTAATGGAGTTTCCATGTTCATTGGTAGTATACCTGTGAATATGAAGTTTAAGTGAAGGGCACACAAGTGAGAAGAGCTACTGCCTTAATGCCCTTGCTTGTGAAACTTCTTATGAGAGCATCTCTAGGTTGAGTACAGGCTTATTTCCACAGACTACTAAATATTTCACAGACAGCTTCATATTGTAAGGGGAAAGGGATGTGCTAACTAAGAGCATCTTTTAGGATAATGTTAAATGGGATTCAGCAGCGTAATTGCTAAGGGGCAAAAGACCCACATTTTTTTATCGAAAGTGTCATAAACGAGAGACTATACCAAAATGATTGAATAAGTAAGAGCAGTGTTGCAAGTGGCCTTCAGTGTCGCAAAAAGCTTGCAGTTTACTGTTTGCTGGCATCCACACTTCAGACCCATTAAAATCAGAAGAAAGAAAGCTTTCCATAGGATTAACTTTCACCCCTTGGACTCAGTGGCGTAGCGTGGGGGGTGCAGGGGGGGCCGGCCGCACCGGGCGCAACATCTGGGGGTTAGGGTTAGGAGGCGCAAATCCACGGGTTAGGGGGCGCAAATCCACGGGTTAGGGGGCGCAAATTACTTGCCTTGCCCCGGGTGCTGACGACCCACGCTACACCACTGCTTGGACTTCTGTGGTCAACCCACTGAACAGACAAAGGACAAACGAGATACCAGCTGAGAAAGCACCTTAGGAGAGCTTAAAATGTGGAGCCCAACTTTTGCTTCACAAAGGTTCGGCCAACCTTAAAAGTCTGAGGTGAAATCTAAAGTTCTAACCAAAATGAGCCTTCTGGGTTCTTGTTTAGAAACATCAACCCCCACAGAAAGCTCTCTGAAAGCTGACTCAATTTGAACTGTGTGCATGTGTGTGTGTGTGTGTGAGGAAGGAAGCAGTTTCTGTTCCGATACCAAGATATTAAACTATTTGTTTTCGTTGAAGGGCTAGCTCGAGTCTTGTGACTCGTTATTTACTATTCTGGTAACCGTGGCTGCATCTGCAACTGATAGTGTTTCCTCAGAGAGAGATCAGATTCCGCTGGCTGCCTGCCAGCAGGCATGTGACTGCAGCAAAGGGAACCCTCAATGCCAGACATGTAAGTAATTGCACTGAACACGAGGGTGAGGATTAACTGCCTTTCAGCTCGGCAAATGGGAAAAGGCTTTTTCATTTCTCCCTGCAGTCTCCCGATATACAAACTGCACACATATATTTTTCACCCCTTTAAGGCACCGCTAATGCTGGTGGTCAACAAAGGAGGTTTAAAGACTCTCTCAAGGCAAATGTAAAAAAATGTAGTATAAACACCAACATTTGCCTGTGAGCGCTCCAATTGGAGAACAGCCTTTACTAAAGGTGTAATGGGCTTTGAAGATACTCGAACTCAGGACGAAAGGGAGAAACGTGCTAAGAGGAAGACACGCTTGGCAAACCCTCATCATGATCAACCCTTGCCTGGAAACCTATGTCCCCGCAGTGGAAGGACGTGAGGATCCAGAATTGGCCTCCACAGTCACATGCAGACTCACTGTTAAGACCGTGTTCATGGAGAACAATCTTACTCGGCTATGAGTGAGAAGAAGAAGAAGAAGAAGAAGAAGAAGAAGAAGAAGAAGAAGAAGAAGAAGAAGAAGAAGAAGAAGAAGTTGTAGCCAGAAATTATTGAAGGTCTGAACCAAGTCCCATATACAAAATCCTTGTTCAGGATTTTCAACTTCTTTAATTCTGTATCTGCATCAGCATCTTAATGGGACTCTAGGAAATCTCACTTAGGAAGCTCTTTATTCCAGTAAAGCGAAAACGGGCCTACACTTAGAAATCATTATGGGAGTCTGAACTTAGAATCATTTGTAGCCAGCCCCATGGGCTTCCAGGGGTACAGAAAGAGAGTCTGTCCCTGACAAATTGAGCACTAAAAAAAATACCACATGGCACTTTTCGCAGTTACAGAACTACATAGTGTCTTTTGCAATGCTGATCACTGCACTGTTTTACTTGTTGTGGGTGAGAGGAAAAGGGCCCCTAATTAAGGTGAGTGGAGGGTTTGTGCAAGAATAAATGCTACCACGTATGCACCCTAGGATCTAGATATGGGTAACCACACCCACACCCTTTGTAGCATCCTTGGGTGCTTTCAGTTACTGAGATCCATAAGTGGAGCCTGTTTTTCCATTTGGGAGGGGGGGAAAGAGTGAGAAACTCCAGATATTTGCTATAACTGTTCTTGGCCCAGAGTGTTTTGGCCCAAATCCTTCCTTGGGGGGAACTTTTTAATGTTAGTTTTAATCAAAAACAAGGGGTTCTATAGAGTGGCTGTCTTTCCTATCATGGACTAGTTTCTCTGAACTGTGGCAACTGAGTACATGGATATGGGGGGTGCTGGGTCACAAATGTAAACCACCCAGCTGCTTCTGTCGCTCACAGACCTCTGGACTATGGCCAGAGAATTTGTGGACGAGCAGGTTATGAAGACTCCTGCTCTGCCTACTGGGCCACAGTGCCAACATTTTAACACTGACTGACTTCTAAGCATTTTCTTTCTCACTGCTATTGTTCAATTGGGATCCCTGTTCCCTGGGCAGGCCCGCTTCTTTTAGCGGTTGCAGGAGAGCACTTAAGAGAGTTTTCATGGACTTCAGAGAACTTTACCATTGCCAGTAAAAAACTGTTTTCAAACTGGAGAATAAAAAGGGGTTTATCCATCCATTTGGTTAATGAACCA